CACGCCCCAGTCACAATGCCCTGTCCAACTGGATCCCCCCCCAGCCCTATGGCCCGGCGCGAGGCAGCGGGGCTCTGTGTCCTGCTGACCGCCAGCTCCTCCTCTTCTACCTGGAGCAGTGCGAGGCCAACCTCACCACGCTCACCAATGCCGTTGACGCGTTCTTCACCGCTGTCAGCACCAACCAACCCCCCAAGATCTTTGTGGCCCACAGCAAGTTCGTCATCCTTAGCGCACACAAGCTAGTCTTCATCGGGGACACGCTGTCCCGCCAAGCCAAGGCCCAGGACATCCAGCACAAGGTGATGCACTACAGCAACCTCCTCTGTGAGATGCTCAAAGAGATCGTGGTGACCACCAAGGCGGCTGCCCTCCACTACCCTTCTCCCGCTGCCTCTAAGGACATGGTGGAGCGTGTCAAGGACCTCGCCAACAGCACGCAGCAGTTCAGGATGGTGCTGGGCCAGTTGGCAGCCATGTGATGGCCCTGGGTTGCTGTCCCCTCCCCACAGCCCCCACCCCGTATCCAGACATGCATCCCCCTCCATGAGAGCCTTCTCTGCCCGGTGTAAGCAGACATGTACATAGAGACTCCCACGTGCACCGGGGACCTGGGGCTCCCCTGGTAGAGGGGTGAGGGGCTGTGGCCATCATCCCCCTTCCTCTTTTTTCTCCCTCCGGCCAGAGGCCAAGGTTGAGGTTTGGAGCTGTGCCCATAAGGAAGCAAAGCTGGGAGGTGGATTCATGTCTGCTCCCTCCCCGCTGTCCTCTCTCCGTACCGAACCGGCGGGTGTTCCTGGCCTGGAGGCCATGGGGCCATGTCCCCATTGGATCGCAATTCGGGGCAATGCTGGGGCTGTTCCCTTTTTGGGGGGCTTACCCAAGGAGTCTCCTGCAACCAGTGGATTTTAATGGCGTGGAAGCCACCCTTTGCAGTGGGACAGGGGCAGGGAGAGGTTGTGCTGTCCCCCTGTGGGGCGGGGGCTGTGGATAAGGGTCCCCAAGGGGCTAAGGGGTGATGGGGACAGGAGGAGTCTGACCTGTGCGTTCATGTGTCTCGGGTTTTGCTACCCTACCAGCTGTAACTGAACCGCAAACTGAAATTGGTGCCTTTTGAACGCGGGGAAGCTTCCACTGGTTCCCGGAGCTACGGAGTCGCAGCC